ACCGCGAGGCTCCCCCCCAGCTCCAGGGGGTATCCACCAGGATCAGACCAGATCCAGCTGGGATTACAGCCAGGATCAGCCCAGATCCAGCTGGGACTACAGCCGGGATCCAGCCCAGATCCAGCCAGGATCCACCAGGATCAGCCCAGATCCAGCTGGGATCCACCAGGACTGAACCAGATCCAGCCCACAGGGCCACAGCTGGTGCTGCAGTGACTGAAGGATCCACGGGATCCACTGGGATCCAGCCCCAATCCAACTGGGATTACAGCCGGGATCCAGCCCAGATCCAGCCAGGATCACAGCCGGGATCCACCAGGATTGAGCCGAGATCCAGCTGGGATTACAGCCAGGATCCAGCCCAAATCCAACCCAGATCCAGCCCAAATCCAACTGGGATTACAGCCGGGATCCAGCCCAGATCCAGCCAGGATCACAGCCAGGATCCACCAGGATTGAGCCGAGATCCAGCTGGGATTACAGCCAGGATCCAGTCCAAATCCAGCTGGGACTACAGCCAGGATCCAGCCCAAATCCAACCCAGATCCAGCCCAAATCCAACTGGGATTACAGCCAGGATCAGCCCAGATCCAGCTGGGATCCACCAGGACTGAACCAGATCTGCTGCTGCAGTGACTGAGGGATCCACGGGATCCAGACAGATTCCAGTGAGGATTCCAGCCCAGATCCCAGCCAGGATCCAGCCCAGATCCCAGCAGATCCCAGCTCTGTGTCCACCCTGGGACTCTCCCCGAGCTCTCTCCCAGCACTTTTGAAGCTTCCAAGGCTCTGCCTCGGCACCAGATCCCTCCTGGATCCTCCAGATCCCTCCTGGCTCCTCCAGGTCTCACAGGGATCCTCCAGACTCTGCCAGGATCCACCGGATCCCTCCTGGATCCTGGACCTTCCAGATTCCACAGGGATCCTCCAGACTCTACCTGGCTCCACCAGATCCCTCCTGGCTCCACCAGATTCCTCCTGGCTCCTCCAGGTCTCGCAGGGATCCTCCAGACTCTGCCAGGATCCACCGGATCCCTCCTGGCTCCTCCAGATCCCTCCTGGCTCCACCAGGCCCCACTTGGATCTACCAGATCCCTCCTGGACCTTCCAGATTCCACAGGGATCCTCCAGACTCCACCTGGCTCCACCAGATCCCTCCTGGCTCCACCAGGCCCAGATCCAGCTGGGATTACAGCCAGGATCCAGCCCAGATCCAGCTGGGATTACAGCCAGGATCCAGTCCAAATCCAGCTGGGACTACAGCCAGGATCCAGCCCAAATCCAACCCAGATCCAGCCCAAATCCAGCTGGGATTACAGCCAGGATCCAGCCCAAATCCAACCCAGATCGAGCCCAAATCCAGCTGGGATTACAGCCAGGATCCAGCCCAAATCCAACCCAGATCCAGCCCAAATCCAACTGGGATTACAGCCAGGATCCAGCCCAAATCCAACCCAGATCCAGCCCAAATCCAACTGGGATTACAGCCAGGATCCAGCCCAAATCCAACCCAGATCCAGCCCAAATCCAACTGGGATTACAGCCAGGATCCAGCCCAAATCCAACCCAGATCCAGCCCAAATCCAACTGGGATTACAGCCAGGATCCAGCCCAAATCCAACCCAGATCCAGCCCAAATCCAACTGGGATTACAGCCAGGATCCAGCCCAAATCCAACCCAGATCGAGCCCAAATCCAGCTGGGATTACAGCCAGGATCAGCCCAGATCCAGCTGGGATTACAGCCAGGATTTAGCCCAGATCCAGCTGGGATCCACCAGGACTGAACCAGATCCAGCCCACAGGGCCACAGCTGGTGCTGCAGTGACTGAAGGATCCACGGGATCCACTGGGATCCAGCCCCAATCCAACTGGGATTACAGCCGGGATCCAGCCCAGATCCAGCCAGGATCCACCAGGATCAGCCCAGATCCAGCTGGGATTACAGCCAGGATTTAGCCCAGATCCAGCTGGGATCCACCAGGACTGAACCAGATCCAGCCCACAGGGCCACAGCTGGTGCTGCAGTGACTGAAGGATCCACGGGATCCACTGGGATCCAGCCCCAATCCAACTGGGATTACAGCCGGGATCCAGCCCAGATCCAGCCAGGATCACAGCCGGGATCCACCAGGATTGAGCCGAGATCCAGCTGGGATTACAGCCAGGATCCAGCCCAAATCCAACCCAGATCCAGCCCAAATCCAACTGGGATTACAGCCAGGATCAGCCCAGATCCAGCTGGGATCCACCAGGACTGAACCAGATCTGCTGCTGCAGTGACTGAGGGATCCACGGGATCCAGACAGATTCCAGTGAGGATTCCAGCCCAGATCCCAGCCAGGATCCAGCCCAGATCCCAGCAGATCCCAGCAGATCCCAGCTCCATCTCCACCCTGGGACTCTCCCCGAGCTCTCTCCCAGCACTTTTGAAGCTTCCAAGGCTCTGCCTTGGCACCAGATCCCTCCTGGATCCTCCAGATCCCTCCTGGCTCCACCAGATCCCTCCTGGCTCCTCCAGATCCCTCCTGGCTCCACCAGACCCCTCATGCTGCAGTGACTGAGGGATCCACGGGATCCAGACAGATTCCAGTGAGGATTCCAGCCCAGATCCCAGCCAGGATCCAGCCCAGATCCCAGCAGATCCCAGCAGATCCCAGCTCCATCTCCACCCTGGGACTCTCCCCGAGCTCTCTCCCAGCACTTTTGAAGCTTCCAAGGCTCTGCCTTGGCACCAGATCCCTCCTGGATCCTCCAGATCCCTCCTGGCTCCACCAGATCCCTCCTGGCTCCACCAGATCCCTCCTGGCTCCACCAGATCCCTCCTGGACCTTCCAGATTCCACAGGGATCCTCAAGAATCCACCTGGCTCCACCAGATCCCACCTGGACCTTCCAGATTCCACAGGGATCCTCCAGACTCTACCTGGCTCCACCAGATCCCTCCTGGCTCCACCAGATCCCTCCTGGCTCCTCCAGGTCTCACAGGGATCCTCCAGACTCTGCCAGGATCCACCGGATCCCTCCTGGATCCTCCAGATCCCTCCTGGCTCCACCAGGCCCCACTTGGATCTACCAGATCCCTCCTGGACCTTCCAGATTCCACAGGGATCCTCCAGACTCCACCTGGCTCCACCAGATCCCACCTGGACCTTCCAGATTCCACAGGGATCCTCCAGACTCCACCTGGCTCCACCAGATCCCTCCTGGATCCTTCAGATCCCTCCTGGATCCTCCAGGTCTCACAGGGATCCTCCAGACTCTGCCAGGATCCACCGGATCCCTCCTGGCTCCACCTGGACCCTCCCAGCCCCTCGCGGATCCCGCAGATCCCGACCGGACTCCCGGGGACCCCGCGGGGCCTCGGACACTCGGACCCCCCCAGACCCCCCCGGACCCCCCAGATCCCCCCGGATCCCCCCAGATCCCCCCGGATCCCGGGCTCTGGGGGTCCCGGGGCCCTGCAGGGATCTCGGTGGGACAGGAGCTGCGGTGGCACCGTGTCCTGCCCTGGTGGCCTCGGCCGGGGAGCCTGGGGACACCGAGGGGACACTGAGGGACACTGAGGGGACACTGAGGGGGCACTGAGGGACAGCTGGGGACACTGAGGGACACTGCTGTGGGGCTGGGGTGGCCCTGTGGGTGATGTCACCTGAGTGACCTCAGCCGCGGTCACCTCGTGGTCATCCTGGCCATGGTCACTCCACGGGGATGTCCCCATGGTCATCCTGGTCAGGGCCACCTCACAGAGATGTCCTTGTGGTCATCCTGGCCATGGTCACTCCACGGGGATGTCCCCATGGTCATCCTGGTGACAGGGGTGTCACCTGAGGGACCTTGGCTGCGGTCACCTCACAGGGATGTCCCCTCGGTGTCCTCAGCCATGGTCACCCCACAGGGATGTCCCCTCATGTCCTTGTCCTGGCTGTGACATCCTTGTGTTCATCCTGGCCATGGCCACCTCACTCCACGGGGATGTCCCCATGGTCATCCTGGTGACAGGGATGCCACCTGAGGGACCTTGGCTGCGGTCATCCCACAGGGATGTCCCCTCATGTCCTTGTCCTGGCTGTGACATCCTTGTGGTCATCCTGGCCATGGCCACCCCCCAGGTGACATCCCCTCAATGGTCCCAGTGGTGTCCCCAGGTGGTCCTGGCCCCCAGGTGACATCCCCAGGTGGTCCCAGTGGTGTCCCTGATGTCCCCAGGTGTCCCAGCCACGGTGGCCCTCCAGGTGACATCCCCCAGGTGGTCCCAGTGGTGTCCCCAGGTGGTCCTGGCCCCCAGGTGACATCCCCAGGTGGTCCCAGTGGTGTCCCTATGTCCCCAGGTGATCCCAGCCACGGTGGCCCTCCAGGTGATGTCCCCCAGGTGGTCCCAGTGGTGTCCCCAGCTGGTCCCAGTGGTGTCCCCGATGTCCCCTCAGTGGTCCCAGTGGTGTCCCCGATGTCCCCAGGTGGTCCCAGCCATGGCCACCCCTCAGGTGCCCCCCCGGTCCCCTCCCAGCGTCCCCCAGTTTGTCCCTGTCCCCTCCCTGGGGCCGTCCCTCTCTGCACTTTATGGTCACATGTCCCCAGGGTGGCACTGAGGGGACAGCAGTGCCACCCCCTGCCCTTTGTCCTTGTCCCCTCTGGGCCCTCGGTGTCCCCGCCGTGTCCAGGGGACACCCTGAATTTGGGACACCCCGAGGTGGTGGCACCTCACAATTTGGGGACACCCCGAGTTGGGGACACCCAGAATTGTCCCCCCAGGCACGGGGGGTGGCGGCTGTGGGGTGGAGGGACCCGGTCCTGTATGAAGCCCCTGGGGACACCTTGGGGACACCTTGGGGACACTCCTGGGGACACTCCCAGGGCCACCCTGGGGACACTCCTGGGGCCACCTCGGTGCCACTCCCAGGGACACCTTGGGGACACTCCCAGGGCCACCTCGGGGACACCCTGGGGACACCTTGGGGACACTCCTGGGGACACCTCGGGGACACCTCGGTGCCACTCCTGGGGTCACTCCCAGAGCCACCTCGGTGCCACTCCCAGGGACACCCTGGGGACACTCCCGGTGCTCCAGAGCCTCTGGACTTGGTGACATCGCTGTCCCCAGGGTGGTGACAGAGCCTGCAGGGTCCTGGCCTTGTCCCCACCCTGGGGACACCTTGGGGACACCTCGGTGCCACTCTCGGGGACACTCCCCGGGCCACCTCGGGGACACTCCCAGGGCCACCTCGGGGACACCCTGGGGACACCTTGGGGACACCTCGGTGCCACTCCCAGGGACACCTTGGGGACACCTCGGTGCCACTCCCAGGGACACCTTGGGGACACCTCGGTGCCACTCCCAGGGACACCTTGGGGACACCTCGGTGCCACTCCCAGGGACACCTTGGGGACACCTCGGTGCCACTCCCAGGGACACCTTGGGGACACCTCGGTGCCACTCCCAGGGACACCTTGGGGACACCTCGGTGCCACTCCCAGGGACACCTTGGGGACACCTCGGTGCCACTCCCAGGGACACCTTGGGGACACCTCGGTGCCACTCCCAGGGACACCTTGGGGACACCTCGGTGCCACTCCCGGGGACACCCTGGGGACATTCCCGGTGCTCCAGAGCCTCTGGACTTGGTGACATCGCTGTCCCCAGGGTGGTGTCCCCATGTCCCAGCCCTGGACCAAGCGGGGACCCCGCAGCTCCTGCCACTCCTTCATTTCCTTTTTTTCCCTTTTTCCCCCTTTTTTCTCTTTATTTCCCCTTTTTTCTCTTTATTTCCCCATTTTCCCCCTTTTTTCTCTTTATTTCCCCTTTTTTCTCTTTATTTCCCCATTTTCCCCCTTTTTTCTCTTTATTTCCCCTTTTTTCTCTTTATTTCCCCATTTTCCCCCTTTTTTCTCTTTATTTCCCCTTTTTTCTCTTTATTTCCCCATTTTCCCCCTTTTTTCTCTTTATTTCCCCTTTTTTCTCTTTATTTTCCATTTTCCCCCTTTTTTTCTCTTTATTTTCCCTTTTTTTTCTCTTTATTTCCCCTTTTCCTCCCTTTTTTCACTTTATTTTCCTTTTTTTTCTCTTTATTTCCCCTTTTTTCTCTTTATTTCCCCATTTTCCCCCTTTTTTCTCTTTATTTCCCCTTTTTTCTCTTTATTTTCCCTTTTTTTCTCTTTATTTTCCCTTTTTTCCCCCCTTTTTTCTCTTTATTTCCCTTTCCCCCCTTTTTTCCCGTTTTCCCTCAGATTTTCTTTCTCTTTTCGGTTCATTTCCTCATTTTTTTCCCCCCCTCGCTTTGGGAAGCTCCTCCCTCGCCGTGAAATAACAATCGTGGTAACCACACCCTCGGGTCGCTGATTTACCCATGTATTTAATGTAAAGTAAGAAAAAAAAAAATCAACAAGGACAAAAAAAAAACAAAAACAAGTAAAAAAATCCCAAAAAACCGAAAATTCCCGATTTTTGTGTGCCCAGGGAGGGGACAGGCGACAACACCGGGGCCACCCGGTGCCAGCAGCCGCTGCCAGATGGCGGCCCTGCCCTGATAACGCTTATCAGAGTTCACAGCTGCCTGGCGGCTCCTGGTTTTTCTCGTTTTTTTCCCGTTTTTCCCCCAAATTCCCACCGGGAATTTCGGGGAGCGCTGCCCCTTTAAATCCGCGTGGCCGCTTTAAGACCCCCGTGGTGCTTGGAGTGGTGTTGCCGCTTTAAGCCGGCCGTGGTGGGGCCCACCCTGAGCGAGGCCACGCCTACGTGGCCCCCGTTAAAGTAAACAGAGGGGCGTGGCCAGGTGGGGTCGCGCCTTCCCCGAGGCCACGCCCATCGCCCCCCTCTTAAAGCGGCCGCGCCCGCAGGGACATCGCGGGACCGGAACCGTTACGCAGGTGCGCGGCGGGGACAACCGGGAGCGGGGACAACCGGGAGCGGCACCGGGGTGGGAACGGGGCGGAAAAACCGGGATCCGGGTGGGGCTGAGGGGAGGGAGAAGCGGGACCCCGCTGGGGCTGGGGGGAAACAACGGGGACCGGGGCACGTTTGGGGACAACCGGGACTGGCCTGGGCCTACGGCGGGGACAACGGGGACCGGGATGGCGCTGGGGAGGGGACAACCGGGACCGGGATGGCGCTGGGGAGGGGACAACGGGGACCGGACCGGGCTGGGGACAACCGGGACCGGACCGGGCTGGGGACAACCGGGACCGACCGGGCTGGGGACAACCGGGACCGGACCGGGCTGGGGACAACCGGGACCGGACCGGACTGGGGACAACCGGGACCGGACCGGGCTGGGACTGGGTGGGGGCACAACGGGCACCGGGCGCGGTCGTGTCGCAGCAGAGTTCCCTGATTGTCGCTTTCCCCGGCAGCGTTACCGGGGCCGTTTCCCGGTGCCCGCCCCAGCCGCGCTCTCCCGTCCCGCCGCCGCCGCCGCGATGCTGCTGCTCCGGGCCATGGCCGGCCGCAGGTAGGAACGGCCCCGCCGGGGCTCCCGGTGTCCCCCCGGTGTCCCCCCGGTGTCCCGGGGCCGCTGTGACCCCGCTGTCCCCGCAGGCTCCCGCCGCTGATGCAGCTGCCCCGCCGCTGCTCCCGGTTGGCCGCCGGTAGCGGAGCCCCGGAGGGACACCGGGAACCGGCACCGGGGGGACAGCGGGAAGCGACACCGGGGGGACACCGGGGAGAGACCCCCGGGAGACACCGGGGAGCGGCCCCGGTGCTGGCGGCGCTGCTCGGGCTCGGGGCCGTCCTGGCCTACGGAGAGCGGCAGCGGAGGGTGAGCGACACCGCGGGCGGTGGCACCGGGGGGTGGCACCGGGGGGGCGGTGACACCTCGGGGTCCTTCCCCGTGACGGGGACACCGGGTGGGGGTTGGACCCCGGCGGGAGGCGGCGCCTGAGGGGCGGATCCCGGTGAGAGGTGACACCGGGACAGCGGGAACGGGGAGGAGGGGTGGCACCGGGGGTGGATCCCGGGGGAAGAGGGTGGCACCGGGAAAGGGACATCCTGGAGACGGGGTGGCACCGGGACAGGGGGACCCGGGGGAGGGGTGACACCGGGATCCCGGGCAGGGTGACAACGGGAGAGGGAGATCCCGGGGACTGGGGTGACACCGGGACAGGGAAATTCGGGGAGGGGGTGACACCGGGACAGGGAGATCCGGGACAGGGGTGACACCGGGACAGGGAAATTCGGGGAGGGGGTGACACCGGGACAGGGGGATCCGGGGGAGGAGTGACACCGGGATCCCGGGCAGGGTGACACCGGGGCAGGGGTGACACCGGGATCCCGGGGCAGGGGTGACACCGGGGCAGGGGTGACACCGGGGCAGGGCTGACACCGGGATCCCGGCCCGTCCCGCCGACCCTCCCGGTGCCCGCAGACCGCGCAGGCCTCCCGCGCCGCCCCGCCCGCGCCGTTCCCCCGTTACACGCGGGCGGAGGTGGCGCGGCACCGCAGCCCGAAGGAGCGCGTGTGGGTCACCTACGGCACCGAGGTGTTCGACGTTACCGATTTCGTGGAGCTGCACCCGGGGGGACCGGACAAGATCCTGCTGGCGGCCGGGGGGGCCCTGGAGCCCTTCTGGGCTCTCTACGCCGTGCACGGCCAGCCGCACGTTCTCGAGCTGCTCCGCGACTACAAAGTGGGCGAGCTGAGCCCCGAGGACGCCGCTCCGCCACCGGGCCACACCGAGGACCCGTTCGCCGGGGACCCCCCGCGCCACCCGGCGCTGCGGGTCAACAGCTCGAAGCCTTTTAACGCCGAGCCGCCGCCGGAGCTGCTGACCCGGAGCTTCCTGACGCCCAACGAGCTGTTCTTCACCCGCAACCACCTCCCGGTGCCCGCCGTGGAGCCGGGCTCCTACCGGCTGCGCGTGGAGGCTCCCGGCGGCCGCGCCTTGTCGCTGTCGCTGGCGGAGCTGCGGCAGCGCTTCCCCAAACACGAGGTGACGGCCACGCTGCAGTGCGCCGGTAACCGGAGGTCCGAGATGAGCCGCGTGCGGCCGGTCAAGGGGCTGGCGTGGGACATCGGTGCCATCGGCACGGCGCGCTGGGGCGGGGCGCGGCTCCGCGACGTGCTGCTGGCCGCCGGTGTCGGCGACGGCACCGGGGACGGCGAGGAGTGGCACGTGTGCTTCGAAGGGCTGGACGCGGACGCTTCGGGGACGCCGTACGGGGCGTCCATCCCGTTGAAGCGGGCGCTGAGCGCCGAGGCCGAGGTGCTGCTGGCGTACGAGATGAACGGGCGGGAGCTGCCGCGGGATCACGGCTTCCCGGTGCGCGTGCTGGTGCCCGGCGTGGTCGGGGCGCGGAGCGTGAAGTGGCTGCGGAGCGTGGCGGTGTCGCCCACCGAGAGCCCGAGCCACTGGCAGCAGAACGACTACAAGGGCTTCTGCCCGTCCGTGGACTGGGATTCCGTGGATTTCGGGGCCGCGCCCGCCATCCAGGAGCTGCCGGTGCAGTCGGCCATCACCGAGCCCCGCGCCGGCGCCGCCGTGCCCGCCGGGGAGCTGACGGTGAAGGGATACGCGTGGAGCGGAGGAGGAAGGGAGGTGGTCAGGGTGAGCGGGGGACGGGGGGAGTGGGGATGGGATGGGATGGGATGGGATGGATGGATGGGATGGGATGGGATGGGATGGGATGGGATGAGAAGGGATGGGATGGGAAGAGATGGGATGGGATGGGATGGGATGGGATGGGATGGATGGATGGGATGGGATGGGATGGGATGGATGGATGGGATGGGATGGGATGGGATGGATGGATGGGATGGGATGGGATGGGATGGGATGGGATGAGAAGGGATGGGATGGGAAGAGATGGGATGGGATGGGATGGGATGGGATGGGATGGATGGATGGGATGGGATGGGATGGGATGGATGGATGGGATGGGATGGGATGGGATGGATGGATGGGATGGGATGGGATGGGATGGGATGGGATGAGAAGGGATGGGATGGGAAGAGATGGGATGGGATGGGATGGGATGGGATGGGATGGATGGATGAGGGGGAAAGGGGGTGAGGGAAAGGGGGAATGGGGGGCAAAATGGGGTGGGGGTAAAGGGATAGAGGAGAAATGGGGTGAGGGGAAATGGGGGGGAAATGGGGGGAATGGGGGGGGAAAAATGGGGAAGGGCGATGTGGCGGCTGGACGCGGCTCTGTGCTAATTAATTAACGCTAATGATCTCTGCCGGTGGATAGGTCGCTAGACGCTAGATGTGGCTCTATGCTAATTAATGCTAATTAGCTCTATCACTGCCCGGCATGTGGACGTGTTGCTGAACGGTGACCGGACACGTCTCTATACTAATTAATCACCGCTAATTACCGTTAATTCCGCCGACAGGTGGACGTGTCGCTGGACGGTGACCGGACACGTCTCTATGCTAATTAATGATGGTTAATTACGGCTAATTGTGGCGCAGGTGGACATGTCCTGGACACGTCTCTATACTAAATAATGACAGTTAATTACCGCTAATTGTGGTGCAGGTGGACGTGTCGCTGAACCATGACCGGACACGTCTCTATGCTAATTAATCACCGCTAATTACCGTTAATTCCGCCGGCAGGTGGACGTGTCTCTGGACGGGGGCTGGACATGTGTCTATACTAATTAATCACCGCTAATTACCGCTAATTGTGGCGCAGGTGGACGTGTCTCTGGACGGCGGCCGCACGTGGCGCGAGGCCGAGCTGGGCCCGCGGCCGCGCCGGGGCCGGGGCTGGGCCTGGGCGCTCTGGGAGCTGCGGGCGCCGGCGGCCGCGGGCGCGCGCCTGGACATCGTCTGCAAGGCCGTGGACCGCAGCTACAACGTGCAGCCCGACAGCGTGGCGCCCATCTGGAACCTGCGCGGGGTGCTGAGCAACGCCTGGCACCGCGTCAGCGTCACCGTCACCCGCTGAGGGACACCGTCAGGGACACCGGGGTATTGGGGACATTGGGGACATTGGGGTATCGGGGGCATTGGGGACATTGGGAACATCACAGGTACACCGTGGCAGGCCCGCGGCCGCGCCGGGGCCGGGGCTGGGCCTGGGCGCTCTGGGAGCTGCGGGCGCCGGCGGCCGCGGGCGCGCGCCTGGACATCGTCTGCAAGGCCGTGGACCGCAGCTACAACGTGCAGCCCGACAGCGTGGCGCCCATCTGGAACCTGCGCGGGGTGCTGAGCAACGCCTGGCACCGCGTCAGCGTCACCGTCACCCGCTGAGGGACACCGTCACACGCTGAGGGACACCGTCAGGGCATCAGGGACATCTGGAACCCGCGCAACGCCTGGCACCGCGTCCCTGTCACCGTCACCCAGTGAGGGACACCGGGGACATCAGGGATCCTGGAGCTCAGTGGGATCCGTGGATCCTAAAGGGTTCCATGACCCCAAAGAGTGCTGCAGACCCCAAAGGGTTCTGTGGACCCCAAAATGTCCTACAGACCCCAAAGTGTCCTGCAGACCCCAATGGGTTCCATGGCCCCAAAGTGTCCTGCAGACCCCAATGGGTTCTGTGGACCCCAAAATGTCCTACAGACCCCAAAATGTCCTGCAGACCCCAAAATGTCCTACAGACCCCAAAGTGTCCTGCAGACCCCAATGGGTTCCATGGCCCCAAAGTGTCCTGCCCAAAATGTCCTGCAGACCACAAAATGTCCTACAGACCCCAAAGTGTCCTGCAGACCCCAAAGTGTCCTACAGACCCCAGAGTCCTAGAGATCCCAATGGGCTCTACAGACCCCAAAATGTCCTACAGACCCCAAAGTGTCCTATGGACCCCAAAATGCCCTGCAGACCCCAATGGGTTCCATGACCCCAAAGTGTCCTACAGACCCCAATGGGTTCTGCAGACCCCCAGCTTCTATTGACCCCAAAAAACTCCACAGACCCCAAAAGGATTTGATGGACCCCAAAGGATTTTATGGACCCCAGAGGGTTCTGGTGACCCCAAAAGGATTTTATGGACCCCCAAAAGGATTTGATGGACCCCAAAGGGTTCTGGTGACCCCAAAAGGATTTTATGGACCCCCAAAAGGATTTGATAGACCCCAAAGGATTTTATGGACCCCAAAGGGTTCTGAATACCCCAAAAGGATTTTATGGATCCCCAAAAGGATTTGATGGACCCCAAAGGGTTCTGGTGACTCCAAAAGGATTTTATGGACCCCCAAAAGGATTTTATTGACCCCAGAGGGTTCTGGTGACCCCAAAAGGATTTTATGGACCCCCAAAAGGATTTGATGGACCCCAAAGGGTTCTGGTGACCCCAAAGATTTCTTCGTCCCCGGCGGATTCTGCCGCTGCTGCAGCCCCGCAGCTCGAAGGTCAGCGGGTTCATGGCCCCGTGTTCATGGCCCCGTGTTTATGGCCCCGTGTTTATGGCCCTCACCCTTTATGGCCCTCACCCTTTATGGCCGCGGGTTTATGGCCCCGCGTTTACACCCCATGTGTGAAAGTGCCTCCTGCCAACAGACCCCAATGGGTTCTGCAGACCACCAGCTTCTATTGACCCCAAAAAACTCCACAGACCCCAAAAGGATTTGATGGACCCCAAAGGGTTCTGGTGACCCCAAAAGGATTTTATGGACCCCCAAAAGGATTTGATAGACCCCAAAGGATTTTATGGACCCCAAAGGGTTCTGAATACCCCAAAAGGATTTTATGGATCCCCAAAAGGATTTGATGGACCCCAAAGGATTTTATGGACCCCAGAGGGTTCTGGTGACCCCAAAAGGATTTTATGGACCCCCAAAAGGATTTGATGGACCCCAAAGGGTTCTGGTGACTCCAAAAGGATTTTATGGACCCCCAAAAGGATTTTATTGACCCCAGAGGGTTCTGGTGACCCCAAAAGGATTTTATGGACCCCCAAAAGGATTTGATGGACCCCAAAGGGTTCTGGTGACCCCAAAGATTTCTTCGTCCCCGGCGGATTCTGCCGCTGCTGCAGCCCCGCAGCTCGAAGGTCAGCGGGTTCATGGCCCCGTGTTCATGGCCCCGTGTTTATGGCCCCGTGTTTATGCTGGTGACCCCAAAAGGATTTGATGGACCCCAAAGGGTTCTGGTGACCCCAAAGATTTCTTCGTCCCCGGCGGATTCTGCCGCTGCTGCAGCCCCGCAGCTCGAAGGTCAGCGGGTTCATGGCCCCGTGTTCATGGCCCCGTGTTTATGGCCCCGCCTTTATGGCCCTCACCCTTTATGGCCCTCACCCTTTATGGCCGCGGGTTTATGGCCCCGCGTTTACACCCCATGTGTGAAAGTGCCTCCTGCCATAAAGATTTGGGAACTTTTACGGGTTCGGTGCCGTCCCGGGGCAGCGAGGGCGGGCTGGGAGGGGGTGGGCAGCTCTGGGACCCCCGGCCCTACAGGGACCCCTGGGACCCCTGACCCTACAGGGACCCCCGGCCCTACAGGGACCCCTGGGACCTTCTGATCCTACCGGGACCCCCGACCCTATAGGGACCCCTGGGACCCCTGACCCTACACGGACCCCTGACCCTATAGGGACCCCCAACCCTACAGGGACCCCTGGGACCCTCTGACCCTATAGGAGCCCATGGGACCCCCGGCCCTACAGGGACCCCTGGGACCCCCGGCCCTACAGGGACCCCCGACCCTATAGGGACCCCTGGGACCTCCTGATCCTGTAGGACCCCATGGGACCCCTCACCCTACAGGGACCCTATGGATCCCCTGACCCTATAGGGACCCCTGGGACCCCCGGCCCTACAGGGACCCCTGACCCTACAGGGACCCCTGATCCTATGGGAACCCATGGGACCTCTGATCCTATAGGGACCCCTGGGACCTCCTGATCCTACCGGGACCCCTGACCCTATAGGGACCCCTGGGACCTCCTGATCCTATAGGGACCCTATGGGACCCCTGACCCTATGGGACCACTGATCCTATGGGAGCCCCTGGGACCCACTGACCCTAAATGACCCCCTGATCCTATGGGACCCCTGATCCTGTAGGGACCCCCGGGACCCTCTGATCCTATAGGACAGCCTGACCCCACAGGCCCCTGTGACCCTGGATAAGCCCCCGACCCTAAATAACCTCCTGATCCCACAGGCCCCTGTGACCCTATGGGATCCCCTGACCCTAAATGACCCCCTGACCCTATGGGACCCCTGATCCTATAGGAGCCCATGGGACCCCCTGACCCTAAAGGACCCCCTGATTCTATAGGGACCCCTGGGACCTCCTGATCCTATAGGAGCCCATGGGACCCCAGACCCTACAGGGACCCCTGGGACTCCTGACCCTACAGGGACCCCTGACCCTATGGGACCCCTGACCCTATGGGAGCCCCTGGGACCCCCTGACCCTAAAGGACCCCCTGACCCCACAGGGCCCTGTGACCCTGGATAAGCCCCTGACCCTAAATGACCCCTGACCCCATGGGCCCCCTGGGACCCCCACGGGACCCCTGACCCTAAATGACCCCTGACCCCATGGGCCCCACGGCGCGATGGGACCCCTGATCCTGTAGGGACCCAAAGACCCCACGGGACCCCCTGGCCCCGGGGGATCTCCTGACCCTATGGGACCCCTGACCCTATAGAGACCCCTGACCCTATAGAGACCCCTGACCCTATGGGACCCCTGACCCTATAGAGACCCCTGACCCTCGATCCCGTTATCAATCCCGTTATCAATCCCGATATAAATCCCGTTATCAATCCCGATATCAATCCCGAATATCGATCCTGTTATTAATCCCGATATCAATCCCCGTTATAGATCCTGATGTAAATCCCGTTATCAATCCCATTATTGATCCAGTTATCAATCCCCATTATCAATCCTGATATAAATCCCGTTATCAATCCCCATTATCGATCCAGTTATCGACCCCCATTATCAATCCTGATATAAATCCCGTTATCAACCGCCAATATCGATCCCATTATCAATCCCCATTATCGATCCAGTTATCGATCCCCATTATCAATCCTGATATAAATCCCGTTATCAATCCCCATATCAATCCCCGTTATAGATCCCCAATATCAATCCCATTATCAATCCCCAATATCAATCCCATTATCAATCCCCAATATCAATCTCGTTATCAATCCCCAATATGGACACCCGTTATTGATCCCCCATATCAATCCCTAATACCAATCCCTGATTTCAGTCCTGGATATTGATCCCCAATACCAATCCCCAGTATCAATCCTCGTTATCGATCCCGTTATCGATACCCAATATTGATCCCCGTATCAATCCCCACTATTGATCCCGTTATCGATCCCAGTTATCAATACCCAATATCGATCCCCAATATCAATCCCCGTTATCGATCCCCGTTATCGATTCCCATTATCAATCCCCATTACTGATCCCCGTTATCAATCCCCAATATCGATCCCGTTATCAATCCCCGTTATCGATCTCCAATACCAATCCCCGTTATTGATCCCATTATCAATCCCCAATATCGATCCCCTTCATTCATCCCGTTATCGATCCTCAATAATAATCCCCGTTATTGATCCAATTATCAATCCCCAATATTGATCCCCGTTATCAATTCCCGTTATCGATCCCCGTTATCAATCCCCGTTATCGATCCCCGTTATCGATCCCTGATATCGATCCCAGTTATCGATCCCCAATATCGTCCCCCAATATCAATCCCCAATATCAATCCCATTATTGATCCCCGTTATCAATCCCCGTTATCGATCCCCGTTATCGATTCCCATTATCAATCCCCATTACTGATCCCCGTTATCAATCCCCAATATCGATCCCCGTTATCAATCCCCGTTATCGATCCCGTTATCGATCCCCTCCCCATCGACGCGCTCGGCGCTCCCCGCTCGATTCTCTCCGCGCTCCCCCCTCTCCTCAATCGACTCTCTCGTCGCTCTCCCCGCGCCCTGCTGGCCGCTCGATGCTCTCGGCGCGCGGCGCGGGGGCTGGCGGTACCGGAAGCGGCGTGGGCGGTACCGGAAGCGGCGGGGCCGGTACCGGAAGCGGCGGGGGCGGTACCGGAAGCGGCGGGGCGGGCCCGGAAGTGGGATTTTTGGGGTTTTTCCAGCAGGATCCCGAGGGAATTTTTGGGGGATTTTTGGGCTTTTTCCACCTAGGATCCCGAGGGGAATTTTGGGGATTTTGGGGTTTTTGGGGTTTTTCCACCTGGGGATCTGAGGGAATTTTGGGGATTTTTGGGATTTTTTTTGGTTTTTGGGGTTTTTAAGGTTTTTCCACCTGGGGATCCTGAGGGGGTTTTGGGGATTTTTGGGATTTTTTTGGTTTTTGGGGTTTTTAAGGGTTTTCCACCTGGGGATCCTGAGGGGGTTTTGGGGATTTTTGGGATTTTTTTGGTTTTTGGGGTTTTTAAGGGTTTTCCACCTGGGGATCCTGAGGGGGTTTTGGGGATTTTTGGGATTTTTTTGGTTTTTGGGGTTTTTAAGGGTTTTCCACCTGGGGATCCTGAGGGGGTTTTGGGGATTTTTGGGATTTTTTTGGTTTTTGGGGTTTTTAAGGGTTTTCCACCTGGGGATCCTGAGGGGGTTTTGGGGATTTTTGGGATTTTTTTGGTTTTTGGGGTTTTTAAGGGTTTTCCACCTGGGGATCCTGAGGGGGTTTTGGGGATTTTTGGGATTTTTTTGGTTTTTGGGGTTTTTAAGGGTTTTCCACCTGGGGATCCTGAGGGGGTTTTGGGGATTTTTGGGATTTTTTTGGTTTTTGGGGTTTTTAAGGGTTTTCCACCTGGGGATCCTGAGGGGGTTTTGGGGATTTTTGGGATTTTTTTTATTATTTTTTTGGGATTTTTCTTTGGTTTTTGGGGTTTTTCCACCCATGATTATGAGGGGATGTTTGGGAATTTGGGGATTTTGGGGATTTTTTTGGGATTTTTGGGGTTTTTGGGTTTTTTTCCAGCAGGATCCCGAGGGGATGTTTTGGAATTTGGGATTTTTTGGGAATTTTGGGGATTTTTGGGGTTTTCCACCTGTGATCCTGAGGGGATGTTTGGGAATTTGGGATTTTTTGGGATTTTTGGGGTTTTTAGGTTTTTCCAGCGGGATCCTGAGGGGATGTTTGGGAATTTTGGGGATTTTGGGGATTTTTGGGTTTTTCCAGCGGGATCCCGAGGGGATGTTTGGGAATTTGGGATTTTTTGGGGATTTTAGGGATTTTTGGGGGTTTTTCCTCCTGGGGATCTGAGGGAATTTTGGGGATTTTTTGGGGATTTTTGGGGTTTTTCCACCTGGGGATCCTGAGGGGATTTTGGGGATTTTTGGGATTTTTTTGGGGATTTTTGGGATTTTTCTTTGGTTTTTGGGGTTTTTCCACCCGTGATCCTGAGGGGATGTTTGGGAATTTTGGAATTTTGGGGATTTTAGGGGTTTTTAGGTTTTTCCAGCCGGGGATCCCGAGGGGATGTTTGTGAATTTGGGATTTTTGGGAATTTTGGGATTTTTGGGATTTTTTTGGGATTTTTGGGGTTTTTTAGGTTTTTCCATGTGGGGATCCTGAGGGGATTTCTGGGAATTTTGGGGGTTTTTGGGGGTTTTTCCTCCTGGGATCCCGAGGGAATTTTTGGGGTTTTTCCACCTGGGGATCCTGAGAGAATTTTTTTGGGATTTTTGGGATTTTTCTTTGGTTTTTGGGGTTTTTCCACCCGGGGATCCTGAGGGGATGTTTGGGAATTTGGGGATTTTTTGGGCTTTTTTTTGGGGTTTTTGGGGTTTTTCCAGCCGGGGATCCCGAGGGGATGTTTGTGAATTTGGGATTTTTGGGAATTTTGGGATTTTTTGGGGATTTTGGGGTTTTTCCAGCGGGATCCCAAGGGGATCCGGGGTTATCCGGGCGCGGGCCGGGAGGAGAATTTTGGGATGGGATCCCGAGGGAGCTGCTCCGGATTGGAGCTGGAATTGGGAAATGGAAATAAAACCTGGAAAAACCCTGGAGCCTCATCCCAGAGTGTCCTGGAATCGTTTTTCTGGGAATTATCCCTAAAAAAAATTGAAATAAA